TCTATTGGTATGAATTTCAAATGTTTAGCAGGATTCTAGGCTGGGCTTTTTTTCTGATCTTCTATCTACTAACCAGTAAATACGATAAATAAAAATGTACCGTTTCCATCCTGTTCTTAGGAAGGATTCAGTAGTAGTGAGGTTTTGGCAATGTCTTTCTGCTATTTCCACAAACATAAGGCATTATGATTACTAATGTATTCAGGAGAAAAGAAAAAAAACCACAACTGAATACATAAAATGAAGCTGACTTTTTTCTTCAGTTTGTGAAATACAGAAAGCTACATTCTTTCAAGCATAATTTCAAATTAGACGAGTTCTACTGTAGTGTCGTTTAAAATATCAGAATTAGAACCTTAGTCTTTGGAGACTAGTTTAAAAGCTGAGACATATGCAATTATCTGTATACATTGCATGTAAATTGCCTTGATCCATTTTGTTTAAAAATAAATTATATTTTATGTAAGCACAATAATTCCAGGATCTTAGAGAGGCTATAGTTTTTTTTTTATTTTGATTGCTAAGTTTGAATACTTGGATAGACTATGTTAATTTAAAAAAAAAAAAAAGTTACTTGAGTGCAACATATTTAGTCTCTGATTTAGAATCACACACTTGACCTTCTGTGAGGAAAAAAACAAGTATGCAAGTTTTTCAAAGAATTTCTATAGTTGGGCAAAAACTAAGGAACCTTTGTGCATTTTCCTCTTTGTATATTCAGTTTGATTTGGAATATGGATTTGCTTTTCTTGTTTTGCTTTTGAGAACGTCGGGTTGCATACAGAATATTACAATTTAGAAGAATGCTTGACATATACTCAATTTAAACATATCTAAAACAAACCACTGGAAACAGGACAGTGCAGTCACATCTGGAGTAACACAGGTCTGTGCCTTCTCCGAAGAGCCTCTTTCCACTGCTTCTAGCTTAACTTGCCCAGATGACATTTTGTGTGAAAATCTATTTAACCTCAGTATTACAATGCCATCTTTTGGCTTGAGGACATCTCAGACAAAAAGAGACTGAAGTTATACATGGCAGTTCTGGCCCTGGTTTGGTAATGTATGAGTGGGAAGGTGTGTTGGAGGCTGAGAGGTTGAAGGTGCTCTGCCGGACCGTGAATGCGATGAATGAATCCCACAAAGTTGCACTAAGAAATTTTCTTGAAGGGTCAATGTCTAAGGTACTCCAGAGTTAATAATTTTGACTATGTCTCTCTAGGAATGATGTAATAGAGTCAAGAACAATTTAGTTGAAAGAAGCCTATAGGACAACTGAAATCTGCATAAAGATTAATGCATCAAAACAACTTCCTAGACCATTGTGCTTTATTTAAATAAAAAATCTGTAGGGTAGCCTTGGCTTTTTCATTCTAGCTGTATACAAAACATTTTTAATCAATTCTGCTGTTCCCAGAGGTGTGCTGGATTTTGATCTAAGGTCTTGGACTGTAATAATAATGGAGAATAATTTGTTCTGATGAAAGTGTCTTGGTCAGATTTCTGGTTTCAGATGTGAAGACAGGTTCCTGCCTTTTCTTCCAGAAGTACAGATTTGTTCTTTTAAAAGTAGGATGTTCTGTTGTTTAGTGGCTTAAATGCTTAGAGCCTCTTTCATTTAAGGAGTACTAAGTCCCATCATAGATTATACTCAGTATTCAAATGCTGCCTCTTTTTGAAATGGGAGGTGAAATTCACACAGTTATTAGTGCAGGAAAACAACGACCATCAGGCTGAAAAGGTGGTTTACACCTTTCTTCACTGCAGAATGCAAGCTGCGAAGTCAAATCAGTGTAACATAATGGCCTGCAGAATTGTCTGGTTTTATCTATAAAATAGATTTTTGCCCCGTTTCCCCAGGCAGTTATAGCACACTCTGTACTGCTTATGACCTTTTTTGTGAGCAATCTAAGAATTGCAGTGAAATGAGTTAAAACATCATAAAAAAACCCCACACAGTAACTTCTTACTGTGTCCTAGGTCTGCAGTGTGAAATGTAGGTGGAATTTATGCAAGAAGTAGTTGAATGTTTGTTTAAGCCCCTCAAGGTTTTTATAAGGAAACCTTTTTAGACTGAGCAGATGAAAACTTGAAGCAATCAATAAATAATTACTAAAAACTTTCCTGCTATAACTAGGCATAAATTGTATGTTGAAAATCAGATTTTTTTTATGAGAGGTAGAATTTGGCAGTGAAGAAGTGAATGAACTTACAGTTTTGTACATAAACAGTTCCAAGAAAGTTTTGCAAACCAGCAGATGCATTGCAAAAAAAAAAAAAAAGAATCTTGGAAAACGACATTTGCCAACCTTACTTAGCTCTCCATGTTCAGAGAGGGACGCTTTAAACAGTGCCTTGCACAGTAAGGTTAGGAACCTTTGCAATCAAGTAGTTTACATTTCGAATGTGCTAAAATTAGCAGGGAACACTGTACTTTAGTCTACATAAGCCTGTGCTACACTGAAATGGTGCTGACTGTGTGGACCCAGCAGTAAATCCCATATGCACTTGTTGGTCTGCTGTCTTTTGCACACGCGTACACACGGGCGTGCGTATGCACACATACAGCCTCAGTGTATTGTTTATTGAGGAACATGGCTCAATAGCTGTTACTTGCAAGTCCTTGCATTTGTGCTAAGATTTGCATTTAGTCAAGGGAAGAAAGATTTTTGACCATTGATATTTTAATTAGATTTTTAAAAATAATTTATGTATTGTCTCAATCTTGTTCATCTTCCACTTTTTAAAATTATATAGAATAGTGAGTGATGATAGTCTATTAACTGTCATAAAAAGCATAATACACCAGTACCCATTGCCTCCTCCGCTATATATTTAAAGCAGTGGTTTACATAGTTATATACATATATCTGTATTATAAACTATTCATTGATCAAGATACAAATCACTACTGCTAACTTAACTACTTTATGCACAATTTTTATATAGGTAAAATGTATTAATTAATTAATCAGAAGTGTAAATATAGATATTTGCTGTTTATACTTATAATGGATTTTTTTAAAGGAAGTAGGTTGTTAAATCATGTTACCGTAACAAATGCTGAAGGCTGCTTCTTCATTCATTGCCATTGAATTTATTGTCAGAGCAGTGCAGTCATATCCCATTTCGGGATTACTTAGTTGGCTTGAAAATTAAATCACAGCTCACAGATTCTCTTTTTTCACACACGGTTAATAATAAATAAAATTGAGTCTAGTTTGAGATATACTTTGCAAGATATTACAGTGCAGTTAGATGCACGAACTATGAAAGATTTAGTAAATAGGATGTGATTTTTCATAAATTAACAATGAATTGGATAAAACAAAGTTACTGTCAATGTATGTAGAACTCTTTTCGAAATAATTATATTGATATAAATTTTGTTAAAGTCAGGCAGTGTGGGGTCTTATAAAGTCCTCAAATTACTTTCTTGAAGTTCATAAATCTGAGAGAGATCTTCAGGAGTGATTACTAATAACTGGAAATATGAACCCATGCTAGATATAT